TCAGAGAATGGTATCGCAACTTCTGTGAAGTAGGAGATGTATTTACTTGGTTTTCAGTACCATGGCTTTCCCATGATATCTTTTGAATCACATGTTTCTATGTGTGCTTCAGGATATCCCTTCATGGATTCTACAGAGGTTTTGAAAGTTACAGAGATCTGGGCTGGTGCTGAGTCATGTATTCTTTGATGTTGCTGAAACTGGCTGCTATCCAAAACTCACCCCCCACACACAATTATGAATTTTTTTCCATCACTTAACTCATTATGAAATATAAGTAGATGCTCGAAACATTTATGAGCCCTCTACTGTAGAGCAAGACACTTATTTTAGGTTAAAAATTCTCCCTTTCTTAACCAGGAAGGAACTGGTTTGTTTTGTTGGTTTTTGCATTCTGCTAGAGTTGCCCACAGAGGCACCAGTGAGCACAGTTGAAAGCCATCAGCAAAGCACAAACACAATTGTTGTGTGTTCCCAGCCATCAGACATTTATTGTGTGGATCAGTAATGTGTGCCTCCCTAGTTCTGTTCTCCTATCTTCTGTGCAGTTTAATATTTTCAATAGTTCCCATTGAACTAAATGTTACACAATGGTAAATAATACTGAACCAGAGAGGTGAGTATCCACATTTACACATTAAATGTTATGGATTTGTAGTCCCTGTCTAAAAGGATCAGCGTTCATTCCTTTAGGCAGAAGCACACATAAGTATCAGAAAGTAAACACCTGTATACCAGACCTATTTTAGTAGATGTATATCAAATTGTTCTATTGCTCTAAGATTCTCAGTAACTTAAAACTTAATCGTCACATTTGCCCAAGAGCAATCCAAAGAAGTGCAAAGGCAATTCTCAAATTATACTATAATGATGGAAAAACTGTAACTTAGAGTCATAGAAATTCACAGATTTATAGACAAGTAATCTCATTTAATATTAACTCTTGATTTTATTAAATAGTTAACTACGGGGATATATTTCTAGCATATTACTTTATGGGGAGCACCCATTTCCACCCTTGCTTTAGAAGTAAAGTTCATTTCTAAAGAGAGAACCTAACAAGTGAAGCTGTTCCGGCTTCTTTGGCTGTCAAGAACTGCCTGTTTCCCATCCCCATCCAACCCTTTCTCATCTTCTAGGGAATCAGGCCCACAGAGGCTCCCTGTGCTCACAGATGCCTGTAAGGAAATAAGGAGCCCAAGTCCAATAACAGCTTGGTCCGGGCCTTCATCCAGATGTCTGGTACCTCTTGCCTAACATCCAGACCCTGGCTGTGATCCTACAATCTTTGGCTGATCTCACTTCTAGCTAAGATTTTGTCAGTTTGGATTCCAATACCACGTTGCTTTAGTTTCCAAAGTACTGGCACATTGTCTTATCAGATGTAACCTTACTCTTTCTTGGATTACTTTTTCTACTAGTTTCTTTCTGCCTTAGTTGAAGTTCACATGTGTGACTCTTTCCCCACCTTAACTTGTGTTAATATGCATATTCTCATGTTCCTTTGTCTTTGTTTTCTGGACTTGACTTACAAACCTTAAAATGCACCTCAAGTGAATGAAATTAATTCCCCAAAGTCGTACAGTGAGTAAAGGGTATAACACTGTGTTTATTGTCCCATCTGTCCCCACCATACCATATTGTCTTGGCAAAAAATGGGCTGAGAGCCACACTCTGCCTTGGTGGCAAGGAGGCCAGTTCTCCCAAACAACAGCCCAAAACTTTATCCTTCCATGCTGTCCTCACTTGAGTAAGCACATAAATTGTAAAAAAGCAGAACGCTATCAACCCAGGGATGGCCTGTAAATTATAAAACATAATAAAACGAGTTTTCTTGTATGTATGCAGCCTTGGGCTTAACATATATAACCTCTACATTGATTTATGCTTTCTTAAATAATAAGACAGTTTTATAGAAGCCTGACTCCAAACTTAGCTAGCAACATAAAATACTTTTATAATTGCAGAATTTCAGAGATTCATTTCAGCTTCTGATGACCTAATAATTTAATTGTGAGAAAGGTGATGACTGTGTATTTTCTTATCCAACAATAAACAATGTCACTCGACTGAGTCATCAGAATTTATGATGTGATGAACTTAACTGATATTTTTCAGCTTTGACGCTCCCAAGACAACTTGGTCTTTATGAATGGGCCAAACCAATGACTTATGCCCCTTGGAAAAGTAAGGAAATGATTTAAATGCCTAACATCTTTTTGTTTTTCTGTTTTTTTTTTTTCTTTTCAGAGAGGACAGTGAGAGAGAGAGACAGAGAGAAAGGTCTTCCTTTGCCGTTGGTTCACCCTCCAATGGCCGCTGCGGCCGGCACGCTGTGGCCAGTGCACCGCGCTGATCCGAAGGCAGGAGCCAGGTACTTATCCTGGTCTCCCATGCAGGTGCAGGGCCCAAGGATTTGGGCCATCCTCCACTGTACTCCCGGGCCACAGCAGAGAGCTGGCCTGGAAGAGGGGCAACTGGGACAGAATCCAGCACCCCGACCAGGACTAGAACCCGGTGTGCCGGCGCCGCAGGCGGAGGAGTAGCCTAGTGAGCCGCGGCGCAGGTCTACGCCTAACATTTCTTACTCTCTCCCAAAATTATCATAACCAATATGGCAGATAGGCACCTTTTGACTTAACCTGCCTCATCAAATACACATGAGAACAATTTCCAGGAGTGTACCTTGAATCTTTATGACTTTCTTAGAGATTTAGAGGCATCATTTGTGGAATTGTGATAACCAGAGTTTAGTATAATATTCAGATTGAGATAATGTGCAGTCCAAGCCAAGGAACACTGGGCTCACTTATTAAACATATCCAAATCAGATTGAACAAAGGTAACATCTGACTTCATCTTACCTCAATAGTGACTGAACGGTTTCTGAGGCTAACAGGTCATTTTAAAAGTTTCTAAATATAAAAGGAGAACATTATAAAATTCATGGAAAATGGAATTTAAGAAAGATTAAGAGCAGGTGTGCAGGGTAATGATTAAGATAACCACATCCCCCATCACAGCACCTGGGTTTGATCCCTGGCTTCAACTTCTGGCCCTGGCTTTGGGATGCAGTGCTGATGGCACAGTTGGATTCATCCTACCCATGAGGGATACCTAGACTGAGTGCCCAGCCCTATCTATTGTGGCATTTAGGGGGTGAACCAGAGAATGGGCTCTTGCTCTCTCTTTCTCTCTCTTTGTCACTCTCTCTCTCAAATAATAAAATTAAATAAAATTTATTTTGGCACAGATTTTGAGATCTCTGCATACATTTTTCAAATGTATTATCTATAACTTTTTCAAAATATTTATTTATTTATTTGAAAGGTAGAGTTATAGAGAGAGAAGGAGAGACAGACCTTCTATCTGCTGGTTTATTCCCCAGATGGCCACGGCTATGCCAGGCCAAAGCCAGAAGCCAGGAACCTCTTCTGGATTTCCCACATGGATGCAGGGACCCAAGAACTTGGGCCATCTTCAACTGCTTAGCAAGGTACCTTAGCAGGGAGCTGGATTGGAAGTGGAGCAGCCAGAACGTGAACCATAGCTCTAATGGGATGTCGGCACTGCAAGTCATGGCTTAATCTGCTATGCCACAACACTGGCACTTTCCATAATTTTTTTTTTTTTTGACAGGCAGAGTGGACAGTGAGAGAGAGAGACAGAGAGAAAGGTCTTCCTTTGCCGTTGGTTCACCCTCCAATGGCCGCCGGGGCCGGCGCACTGCGGCCGGCGCACCGCGCTGATCCGATGGCAGGAGCCAGGAGCCAGGTGCTTTTCCTGGTCTCCCATGGGGTGCAGGGCCCAAGCACTTGGGCCATCCTCCACTGCACTCCCTGGCCACAGCAGAGGGCTGGCCTGGAAGAGGGGCAACCGGGACAGAATCCGGCGCCCCGACCGGGACTAGAACCCGGTGTGCTGGCACCGCAAGGCGGAGGATTAGCCTAGTGAGCCGCGGAGCCGGCCTTCTTTCCATAAATTTTTGAAGTCCACTCTATATATAGATTTCAAAATTTTTGCCCCAAAAGAAATTTATCTTTTCATTCTATTTTCCATGAAATTTTAAGTACCTTGATATTCAGGGAAACTGATGTCCAAAATGCATTTCACTATAAAATGAGTTTTATAATATAATAATAATATGTAATAATATAAAATGAGTCTTATAAAATGGTTGAGACTTTCTAAGTCCCACAGCTTCATCACACACCCAGGACAGAGGGACAGTGTGGCAGCACTCTCTGCTTTCCAAGTAGGTGGTTAAGTAAAATAAAATTGACCACCACTTTCTGCTGGGCTTCATTCAATCTGCAATCAGCTGCAGTGTACAAGTCAACATCAGAAAGTCCCTGCTTCACATCTGCTATTTTGAGCTTGTTTCATTATCAGAGGGTCCGATCGGTGTAAGCTGAGATAACCAACAGATGGGCAGAACTGCACACCAAAGGCACCCAAGCCACCAAAGGTAATTTAGCAAAATAAAAAAAGAGGAATTATAAATATGTTTATATTTATGTATATATAAAACTAACGAAGAGGTCTTTGGGCTCCACTCCATTTTATCTGGAAAAGAAAAGCAGCTTTTAAGAGTCTCAAGTTTATCAAGACAGACGTAAAGTCCATTGTTACTCCTGGTGCTGCTGCAGAATCAATCTAACCTGAAGTGTCCCCAGGCACGTGGTGCCGTGGCAACCGCGCTGCCGCAGCAGGGACCCGCGAGGCAGCGTGCAGTCTTGGTAGCTGAGGGCACTCCGCCCAGGGTCTGTGGGCCCGTCTTTGGCTCCATCCCCCAGGGTGGTCTCTTTTTCTGGGGATGACATTCCCTAGGGAAGACAAGACGGGTCATAATTAGGGCCGCAGAATGAAGAGAATCCAGAGCAAGCTGGCAGTGGCGTGCACTCTTGGTCTCTTCTTTGTGAAGAGCAGTTCTCATCTGAGCCCTGCCACGTGACCGCTCGCCCTTAGACACAGGAGAGAGGGAGTCTAGAAGCAACGCTGCTATGAGACAGTGACTAAAAGCAGGATTCCATTCAGGAATGTTCTATGGAATTACTGTCCTCCCACCCACCTGCAAAAGTATTGGGATCCTGATTCTGCAGAGGCTACTGCAGCTTTTCACGTAAGATGAAAGTTTTCATGTATTTTATCACCATTATTCACACCCACCAACTTCCCTTCGCCTCTCTTTTTCTCTCACTGTTTTGCCAACAACCTCTTCGTTCACCAACTCTACACTGGTGATGAGGGTTCATGAGTATTACTGGTTGTAAGAGAATAATATAGTTAGTTGGGTGATACCATGAAACAGAGCTGAACATAGGAAGGCAAAGGGACCAGCATAAATTTGAACAACACAAAGAAGATATGGGAATATTTTTCTTATCTACTGCGGTGTCACTTCGTGATCTGTAAGGTTTTTCTTTTAACAGACTAAAGTCTACTTAGCCTTAATTTGAGTCCTTTTCTTTTTTTAAATATTTAACTTTTTATTTGAAAGGCAGAGTTACAGGGAGAGACAGATGGCTGTCAGAAGCCTTTCACAGGGAAGTCACCCTGGCCTACTGGTCTAGCTGCACCCCACAGTTCTCCAGCCTTAGGGGGACTTTTGCTTCTACCTGAGTGGGAATCTTGTTGCTCACCTCAGAAGGCAGGTTACATCCTCACAGTGAACTGAAAGTCTCACTGGAAGAGGGAGATCTAGGTCAATGGGATTTGTCTGGATCCAGCGGAAGAGACAATCTTGGGGTCAGAGCTTTACTGCACCGTCTAATGCAGTAGGCATCCACCACCTGTGTAAGATGAGCACTTGAAATGTGACTAGTCAGAATCAAGATGTGCTCTGAGTGGATTCTGAAGCCTTAGCGCAAACACTAATAAGAGTGTAAAGTATCTCATTAGTATTTATTGCTCATTACATATTGAAATTATAGGCAGCCCATAAACAAGTCATAGACAAGTCAAGGTCAATCTTGGCTTGTGGAATTCCTGGGATGAGGAAGTCACGGACTCTCATGTTGAAGGAGAATGCACTCTGCTAAAATTAACCATGTTGTGACTGTGTTGTAGAAAGCCCAGTAAGTTGCTTGTGTATGTTGTTAACTTCTGAGTTGCCTTGAGCTGCAGCTGGTAATGCATAAATATCTCTGAGACACTGGAATAAACGAGCCTTGGTCAGCCTTGTTGCCTTGGCTCCATTCTCTGCACCCTTGTCCCTCTTTTCATTCCTACTCCCTCCTTCAGGTTCCGTTTGACTGGTGCAGCTGGCCCGTGCAGGTGGCGCGCGAACAGGGACCTGAATATGAGGGACAACGTGAGGAACCCCACCAGAAAGGCTGCAGTGACAACAGAATAATGAGAGGAAGTCGGTAAGTACCCAATACCGCTTGCCTCCGGATAGGTGTGAAAGGGGCATTATGGGACAAGCACACGGTAAGCGGTAAGCAGGCTGTGGTAAAGGCTATAAAGACTCCATTACAGACACAGGGAATAGGGTTAAAAAGCGAGCCATAGAACAGTTCATTAATGCTATAGGAATAGTCAGTCCTTGGTTTGCAAAGAAGGAGTCCTGGATGAGCAACATTGGGATTTGCTCAGAAAAGATTTAAATGCTCATTTAAAGAAACAAAGTAAGCCATGACAAAGGCTGTGAAAACCTGATTGCAGATGTAGAGACTAAGGTTAAAGAAACAAACCACAGAGCAATTTATCAGCGCTGTTGAAAAAATTAGTCCTTGGTTTGCTGAAGAGGGTGTTGTGGATAAGAAACACTGAGAGTCAAAAATACAGATCAGTGTACACTGGACACCCCCCACCCTGCATTTGAATATTTCATTTGAACTAAATGTTATCTGTTATAAAGTTAATATTACCATGTGAAATGAGGAATTGTGGTGACAAAGTGTCTGGACTACCCATTCTGTTTTTGTATTATGTATTAACTCTACCCCTATTATTGATAGGAATGCTTGGACAAATTATGCTTGGTTTGCTTTACAAAAGAATGTAAATCAAAATATCACAAATAATTAAGATTCCACAAACCTGCAAAAATGTAATAATTACAGATAATAAGAGGCTAATTCCCCCTCAGATATGTTTCAATTTATCCTTAAAACACACTGAATATTATTGTGTTTGATTGCTGGATGTATACTTGTATGAAAAATTTGTATTGTATTCTTATGATGTGTTAATTATGGCTACCCCTCGATGCAACCCTAGGGCCAAATGTAAGGACAGATTTTTGGGACGGAGAGGCTTGTATCTAGGTTCAGCTCTGGTAGACAAATAACTTTAATGCCGGATGACCTTCTCCTGCTCCTTGGGAGCCTGGCCAGTTCCCGGGGAGGAGGATAAAGGAATGTTTCTGATAAACAGGTTGGCAGGCTTCGTGTCTCGGCTCTCTGGCCAAGACGGGACGCACTGTTTGCCTAAAATCTTAGCAATGAGCCACCCTTGTCCTTGGGGACTTTAAGGGGGAGCCGGAGCAAGCCTCTGCTGCTGCTGTTTCATCCCAGGGGGAACACGCAGTCAAGCTGAATGTCAAATGTGCCCGTGATGATTACTGATGATGTTTGATTCTCAGTATGGATCCTTTTCCGGTGCTGTGTGAAGATTGCCTAGTGATGCCAACGGTACTGTAAATTCTACAAAACATAAGTACAATGCGGACATGGATCAATTGGCTACTGTGACTGAGGTGTTCTGTGACAGTCCCTTTGATGAGGAATTAGCAAAATGGATTCACTTAAAAACAGGACATTCAGGACCTGCCACTCTACGTGGTACGTCATTACAAAAATCATCAAGGAGGGCTGTGCCCAATAAATGAGGGTGCTATGAATGTGGGCAGCAGGGACATGTACAAAAATTGTCCAAAAGTCAAAAATCAAAATAAGGCTCCTCCTGGGATTTGCCCCCGGTGCTAAAGGGGAAGGCATTAGGCCAATGAATGTCACTCCAAAACTGATAAAGAAGATAATTCATTAAAAAACAGTACGGAAAACTGGAAGCAGGGCCAGCCTCAGGCCCTCCCTACAGGGATCAGTGGACCGTCTTAAAGCAGTGGAGCCATGTTTATTGCAACATTCTGTTAATGCTCCTTTACCATCTTTCCGCTAAATAATTTTAGTGTGCACTACAAGGCTTGCAGCGTATTTCTTGTGGATTAAACTAAAAGTAACTAAGTCTGTGCACAGCAGACAGCTGGAAAATAATTTGCTGTCACAAATTGGTGCAGTTGGCAGGATCCGCAAGTATACAAAGCAATGCCTTTCTTTAAAAAGAAAACTGAAGTTGCATGTGTAACCTGTGATGTTCCTGGCTGGAAAGACCCTCAGTTCGCTTCTTTGGTGAAGGAATGGGCTCTCTGCTCAGGATTGAGTGAGAATTGGGATGGCAAGTTACGGAGTGCACAGCCTCCACAAGTTATTGAGGTTTTGCAATCGGTGCCAATAGAAAAGAGGAATGAACTACAGGCTTTGGAGAGGTGAGGATGGATTTTGTTATCTGCATACTGATGCATATGCAAACAATTAGAAAAAAGCAGTACAGGGTAAATGTAAATTGGGAAAAAGAAAATGCTGCCCTTTGGAGTCAAACCGCTAGGTAGTGGTAAAAAAATTGTATCAAGCCTCTGTACCCGCTGCCAGGGCCAACTAAGGTTTTTCAGTGTAAACAATACAGAATTCCAGGGGGACATGAGAAAATATCTAAAACAGTAAGAAATTATGTTAATGCTGGAGTGATGATTTCCATAGCTACTAAAAGGATTAATCCAATTTGGCCTGTTAAGAAATCAGATGAAACCTGGAGAATGACTGTGGATTATAGGAAATTGAACAAAGTTACTCTCCCATTGACTGCTACTGTCCCAGATACCATCACTTTGATGTAAAAGGTCAGAAGTATAAAAGCGTGTTCTTGATAAGGAAAGTTAAAAGGAAAAGAGATTTTTAAATAAAGGAAGGACATGGTTTGTAAAAATTGTTTATTTTAATGGCTAGTTTATACTGGAATAAAAAAAAGAGAAAGGTTTGATTAATTTACAGAAGGTGTGAGAAAGTTACAAAACGTTATAGGAAGAAGAAATTTTTGGTTACAAAGCTATTAGTCTATTTTCTTTGACATAAAATCAAAATCTGATCCTCTGTTAAAGCAATGAGTTAAAGTAATCTAGTATGTTCTCTTGATGTCTCTGTTAAATTCTAATTGTTTAAAAACAGCTGCGAAAAGAACAATGGTGAAATGGAGGGATCCTATCACCAATCAATGGAATGGACCTGATCTGGTACTGGAATGGGACGTGGGCTCCTAAGGGATGGGTTTTTTTATGCAGCCAATATGGCTTTACATCGTTAGCCTCTGATAACTTCTGCAATTGCTCCCTGGGCCATGTGGCCCTGATGCTGATATCTGTATTTACAGCAGCAGATAGAGCGCATTGGTGGTGTGCTTTACCTAAAGACTGCAATGGCGACGTCATCCTAATAGGAGAGGACACTGCCTTGGCCATGGCTGTATCAGTAGTAAGTGTTCCTGGACTGGCCTTTGGAAATAACTGTGGACTGCGAAGGCTTGCATGTTTAGTGACCAAAACAATTAATCTTACTGCTACTGGACTGTCCAATATAGCTGAAGAATTGGATCAAGTTCGCTCAGGAGTGCTTTTAAACCATGCAGCTATCAATTGCTTGCTGTTAAAAGATCATATAAGCTGTGAATCTGTACCAGGGGGATGTTCTTTTAACATTACTAATGATGTGCCTTATATAGAGTCTGTTATTGATAAACTTAAGAGTAAAATGCAACATATGTCTATTACTAATCCACTATTCATTTGGAGGGTTCCAATGGATTCATTGGTTATTAATGCTGGCTCGACCGCTATTGCTTTTCCTACTTTGTATGGGATGTTTTCCGTGTGTTCTGCATTTTATGCTGACTTCGCTACAGACTGTATGGACTGACATTCATCATTTAAAACTTTGTACCAAACCTCCTTTGTAATCAAAAATAATTGATATGTGGCTGTATGTTACATCTCTCGCCTAATGTCAGGCTGGAATGGTACTCAGAGATGGGTAAGACACTCAGCATCCTGAACCAACCTAAGACAGGGCCCTAGGCCAAGCTGCCAGAGTTAGTGATGATGGGTAGGGACAGAGATGACTGAGGGCAACCTAAGACAGAGGCCATTCTCAATTAAATAAAAAAAGGGGGAGATGTAGGCAGCCCATAAACAAGTCATAGACAAGTCAAGGTCAATCTTGGCTTGTGGAATTCCTGGGATGAGGAGTCACGGACTCCCATGTTGAAGGAGAATGCACTCTGCTAAAATTAACTATGTTGTGACTGTGTTGTAGAAAGCCCAGTAAGTTGCTTGTGTATGCTGCTAACTTCTGAGTTGCCTTGAGCTGCAGCTGGTTATGCATAAATATCTCTGAGACACTGGAATAAACGAGCCTTGATCAGCCTTGTTGCCTTGGCTCCATTCTCTGCGCCCTTGTCCCTCTTTTCATTCCCACTCCCTCCTTCAGGTTCCATTCGACTGGTGCAGCTGGCATGCACAGAAATGATATTTTACTTATTAGAATACATAAAATTTGTTACTAAAATTGATTTCTGTTCTTTCTTTTAATGCTGTGTGACTTCTAAAATGTGTAAAATCACATATGTAGCTCATGTTGTATTTCTATTGCAAAGCACCAGTGGAGATCCTGGGTTTCTAATATCTGTTTTCTTAGGTGAGAAAAAGCTCAGACTGCTGCAGAAAAGCTGCCGCTTGAGTCCCACTCTATAACAAAGTGACATTTGGCCCCTATAACGCCAGGGTTTTTTTTCTTTCTCTGGTTTGATGAAGCCCACATCTTTTGGGTTAATGCAAACCCCTAGACCTCTCAATAACATTGTGCATCCTGCATCTGGGGGAGATAAGTACCAATCAAATTCTTGACCTCCCTATAATTGTTAACAGGCAGTTCTAGCTGTTAAAAATTGAAAAATCTATTTACAGAGATTTGAAAAATATGATGTGCTTTTTCTACTGGCTTTTCTCATTAACCTAACTAAACATTCATTGCAGCCTATTCCAAAGCTGTACCTCCCATTAGCACATAGGAAAATTTGTTCTCACACCTGGTGTACTAGGGTAAGGAATACATACACATTTTCAGAAGAGAACCTTTTTCAAAGAAGAAAATTCTCTTTTCCCCATGTATTGTATCCTGAGAGCACAAATTAGACCTCTCAAAAAGTTTAATGTGGGTTGGGAGAAGGGCCTGTGGTGCAGTGGGTTAAGCCACCCTGCAGAAGCCCACATTCTATGTGAGAATGCCTGATTTGAGTCCTACTACAATCTTCCCAT